ACAGCTTCAAATATCCACTCAAATTCAAATTGCAAAACATGGTACCACAGATACTCTTCAAATTCTATGGGACTTCAAAATGACCAAATTATTAATGTCTATTAAGGGGGAGGTGGGGATCGAAAGTGAAATTCTTTAGTTTTTGTCGTAGAGCAATGAAATTTGGCATGCTTACTGGAAACTGCGCTAAATGATAAATGACAAAGTTTCATTCAGCTATCTCCAGTAGTTCTGGCATTATAAATTTTTTTATCCATCAGTGTACTACCAAACTTGCCCAAAGCCTGGTGTGACAAAAAAACATGGTAGAAGCCTATAGTTGCTCTTATATTTTAGCCATTGGGATGGTTGATGTCGTGACATTCTGCAAATATTTTTATGACTGTTTTTATTTTACAGAGAACATTGTATACATGCTTGTAAATGTGGTCGTTATCATAATGTGAAATTAGCTTAGGAGTAAAAATACTGAGGTAGTAATTAACAAATATGAAAACGTCACGACATAGAAAATTCACTGAGGAACACAATGCAAAAAACCACATGAAAATCCGTCAAGCCATAGTCATGCAAGCATCGTGGCAAGCTGGACAGTCGGGTCAAAACACGTTTCTGAGAAAACTGGCGTTAAAGTTGAACAGTCGGTAAAGGTCCATCAAAATGCCCCGGGACTGTAATACTTTGTGTCTTTGCTTGCGAGGGTCTTCTTACGTCCTTTCTCTTTCATTTTTTCTGCACTGCGTGCTTTTCGTTTTCTTTGCTGGTCTTTTTCTTCAGCTCTTTGAAGGGCGAGGCTAGCAGGTTTGATGCCCACGGACTTGCACATTTCAGTGTAGGCTCGCAAATTCCCAAAATTGTAGCGTGCAACTGCTTCATGTACTGTTGTTTCCACTGCGAACAATGAAGCGTGTTGGTCCTTTGAAGTCAGTGACCAAATAACTGAATGCAAGCTTTCCGCCGCATTCTGAGTTTTGTTGCCTTTGCATCGCTCCAACAGTTGCGGGTCAGAGAGACGTTGGTATACAGGCAGCAGAGCCTCCGCTACACGTTTCGACAGGTTATACCTGTGAGGTGGTGCTGGCTCCATTTTGGCCTGTGCTGAACGATGTTTGCACCAGCTATCAGGGCCAGGTGGGCAGAGCTTATGGTGAGGCTTGTCGTCGGTGGACGTGACGTGATAAAAAGTGGCCATCACGGCCCTTTGCATGTCAGGGACACTTGTGTGTTTTCGCAAGGCTAACCCGTAGTAGCTGGTCAGTTTTTTAATCAACTCCTGCGTCAGTCCACCCAATGGCTCCCCTTTCTTAGCTTTTATCACCAGTGTGCGGAGAGCGGTGCCCATTCTCTTCTGCACATGGTTCACGCAGTCTTCTTTGGTCAGTGGTATGAAGCCGTACACCTCATCTTTGCACAGAGCAAGATAGGTTCGGCTGTCACCATCACATATAATGTTGGTGTAGCGGAGGCCATACCTGCTGACAGAGCGCCTTAAAAGTGTCAGAGCAGCCTCCACTTCCATCTGTCCGGAGCCAACATCAGTATTCTTCTGACATTGATGTTTCTCAGCCCAAGTGACGAAGTTGGGGTCGCTCTCTGCTGGTTGTTGACAACACCCAAGACAGAAGTTGGAAAGGACCGTGCAATCCAGCACAAGCCCCGTGTAAAACTCAATAATACATCCTACCCCAATGTGTGAGCTGTGGCCTCTTGTAAGCCACGTGCCGTCATACACAACTGTGATGTTGTTTGGGCTTGATGGCTGCATCTTACTGTACACGTCTTTTACCGCAAGCACAGCATCTGCAAAGATGTTTTGTGCAGCTTCCTCTGCTCCTGGTTTGAATGTTTTTTTTTAGGTGTTCCTGATAGGTTTTTTGATGAATGCCCCGATGAGAGACATTCATTGTAGCCCAGAAGTCATTCAGGGCAGTGGGCCCTTTTCCAATGGACTTGATTGCTTGCATGGCTCTTAGGTTGACTTCAAAAGCCCTTCCTTCGGATTTTCTACTGGATGACCAAGGTGAATGAATAGGGCCACAGGAAGCACACAAAAGTACCAGTTTTACTGCCAGGCCCAATTTTGTCCCATGCTGCACTGACAAAGTCTTTTTACAACATTTTGGGCAGAGTGCAGGTCCTATTAGGGAATTCATGGCAGAAACCTGAATTAGGGTGAACTCATCCTCTTTTGTTGCCGATGTTTGCTCCGTTTGCTGCGCGAACCCGGACTTCCGCTCCGTTGCCGACACCTCGCGAAGTGCATCGCGGACACTGCTGGCTTGCTTCTCGGCGCCTTCCGAGGACACGAAACGAGGTTCCAGGTGTATTTGAACGGTGCGCTTCCGCTGAGGCAAACGATCGCCAACATCCTGGACAGCTGGCACCACGTCGTCGTCCGCCGCCGCGAAAACGAAACTTTTCTCGCGTTCACACCGCACCGTGATGCCGCGGCTAGTTGATGGCCCCGGGTCTTCAGTGTCACTGCCAGGCGTCGATTCACCGTCACTTAGAACAGCCGGCACCGCATCGTCACCCGCCGCAGCGAAAACGAAACTTCTTTCGCGTTCGGGCCACACCGCAACGTCGCGGCTAGTTGACGGCCCCGCGTCATAGGCCTCACTGCCGAGCATCGGCAGCGAGCAGGTGTCGGCTTCCGACGACACGTAGCTTGGTGGCGACGCGGTACTCGGTTCGTCTGATTCAATCGCTGCTGACTGCTTCGTTTTCCCAACAGGAGGCTTGCGTTTACGCTTCCCGTAAGCGTACTTCGTCCTGCGCTTCCGGTCCACGCGACGATCCATTGCGGGCGCTAAGCCTCGCGCTAGAGAAGAGTTGGCGTATCGGCGACCGTATCGGCGTATCGGCAGGGGATTCGCAAACTATAGTGCGCCAGCATGTGCGTAGCAGACGTGCGTGCACGGAGCAGATGACCAGCGCAAGCAAGCGCGTCCCAGCAGCCACTCACAGAGCGCGCTCAGTACCACGTGACAGGAGCGACCAATGGGTGCGCGTCTAAGGCGTCGCGGATGCCTTCGCATTTTTTCTGTTTGTGCGTTTATCTTAGCTCGTAGAGTCGTGGTTTCACCGGGAGAAGTACGGCGGTGAAGCAAGCTTTCCAGTGACACCAAGCTTTCCGCGAGCGGCGGCGAAGGCGCGGAAGTATCGCGCTCGGAAATGGGCCATTTTCGCGCAGATTTCAGCCAGCTTTTTGCGAACCGCGGTCAGAAAAACATTTTTTAAGCTTACTTTGAGATCGTTTTCGGCGGAAATATTTTTAGATACGATAGAAATGGTGATGCAGAATCCAAATCTGCCCTTATCCAAAATTCGTTTTTTTGCGAGAATTTCGCGATTTGATCCCCGCGTCCCCCCTTAAGTTTTATTTCCAGGGCCACCTTGTACGATTATGGTGACTCCTCCCAACAGTCTGTTGTTTTTCTTGTGTTCCTTTCAGACAAGCACACAAATTAATGCATAAGAAATGAAATTTTATTTTGTTCTACTAGCAAACCAAGCATTAATAACCAGACTATTTTTTCAGGACACCAGTTTGAAGTGCAATCAGCCGATGTGGTTTCCGGGTGCACTTTGTGAGGAAAACAAGTCCTGGAAGACCATACCTTGTGTCCAACAATTTCGTGTCCCCCAGCAGTCAAAATTTAGTTGAGGTGGCGAAGTTGTGCTCGAGTTCACAACGAACAAGTAGCCGTGAGAATTTTTCGAAACAGTGCCTTAATAGCGGAGTTACACACATTTGATGATCGAAATGCGACGATCGCTTTTTTCCCTCTTTCCTACGCTACCCTCTTCCAAAACAGCTTGGCCCCTCCTCGCTGAGTCAGCTGAGTGCCCCATTTCATCTCGCGTGGCATACGTCACCGCTAATGTGCTGTTCGAGACAGCGTCTACTTCCGGTTGCCACAATGCGCCACTCCAATGCCCCAGCTCGTCGTCAACTGTGTTGTGTGAGTCATCTGGGTGCACTGATCGTTGACTAATTGCTGTTGCTGTCGTGCTGGCCCGTTCCCCTACGTTAGAGACTTGGCGGTTGCGTTACAGGCTGCAGGTGTCGATTAGCAAGTGGCAACACGATCAAGAACAGCACGGTGCACGCAAACAGCTGTTTGCAGAGTGACCGAAAGTCGTCGGTTATCGTTCGGCCAATAGAAAGCATTGATATTTGTAACGTCATCGAGTTTCACTGGTGATGTCACACATGCCAGTTGCGGGAATGGCAAGGACCGGAAAGGAGAAGCTATTGTTTTTCGAAGTTGTGGCGTGCCCGCTACCTGTAGCACTGCGGCGTGTGACATCGTTGATCACGACGGCATTCTGCACGCAATGCGCTTGTTAACTTGAAATGTTTGGGAAAATATCGGAGGGGGTTTTGGGGCCCTTTATGACTGAATTTTACAAATATACATATATTATGGACACTACTGATGTCAGTGAAGCCTTCAGCAGTGCCTGCTTCAACGAGCCCTAAGACTTACACGCGGGCTCTAAGAAACTTACTTTTCTCTGAAGTGTATTGCTGCATAAATTGAATCTCCAATTAATAGTAGCAGAGCAAACTACCCCAACTCTTTGCCATCGCAAAAAGGGGCCTCGAACATGCGTCCAATGGCTGCACGCAACTCTTTATCCCACAGTTATGTTTTTTATTTATTTATTTTTATTTTTAGTATGTATGTTCCTACTAACTTTACAGGCATGACTGGTCTTAAGCATTTTTTGCATGAGGCACCCCGTGCTGTCACCATGTGTAAACGTGAAGCAACACTCAGAATTCACTCGGATTTTATTCATCTTTGAGACCGATAGCAACAGGTTGGTAGAAGCATGGCCCCAAGTCTCCTTAACATCAAACCTTTCAAATGGCAACGTTAGCTGCAATGCAATATTGTAGACCACTCTTCCCCCCCCCCCCCCCCCTTTTTACAATGTCCTTGAAGAAGTTAATTTTCTTGACTGCTACCTGCTGGCTAAGGCGGGCTCACCTGAAGTGGCTTGCAGTTCTCCTTGACATAGCGGCCTGCAGAACTCTTTTCATCCCAATCGAGGCGCCCGTGATAGAAGTACTTGGTCCTGCAAAAAAGACAACAAAGATGCCTCGGTGGTGGAACAGCACTGTCCAGCCGGCTAGGGCAAGAAGGCAGTTGCATAATTAAAAAGCACAGTTGGCCCTACATATGAAAGACTCAGACTTATAACTATTGGTTACATCGAATGGTTGAAAAACACTCTTGAACATGCCACAATAATGTATGAGGTGGCTGCTCTTGTACAGTGAAACCTCGTTAAACTGTACCCCCATAAACAATAGTTTCGTTTTAAAAGTAGTGAAGTCAAATCCCCGACTCGGCGGCCACTGAACATAATGCATTTTGTATCAGCATAAGCCATACAAGCTTATCGCGTATGTATCGGTTAATAAGAATTTTTTCCAATTTTCATTGCGCACTCACCGCGGCATTTCGTCCCCCACTGGGCGTCCCGACAGAACACCAAGCCTCAGAGATCGAAACATGCCTCGCTTGTTTGTGTTGATGATGATAGCGGCTGTGTTGGTGAGCGCCATATTTTGGATTTTTCTGCAACAAGAAGCACTCGGCCGGCTAGGCTTCTGGTGTTGTCCACGCGATGGCACTTTGCACAAACACGAGGACGAGAACAAAACGACGACACAGAAACAAGGAGGACACGAAAGACACGAGCGTGTCCTCCTTATCCCTGTGTCGTCGTTTTGTTCTCGCGCTACAACTATCGTCATGCCATACCAACTAGCGTCATGCTAGCCCAAGCTGCCACACGCAAATACAGTGTGCGCTTGCTTTGCTTTCTTTGTTCCTCTGGCGCCGTGCATAGGTGTTCTCTGGTTGATCCATGCCGTACAGCTCTCGCGTCGTTTTTCACGTGTTGTGTATGTGTGCTTGTGCTGCTTCATACTTGCGTCATGCCGAAGCTGGGACAAAAGCATCGAGTGCTGAAAATAGAGGAGAAATCGGACATAAAGTGCCACGAAAAAATCAGCGCTGGCACACGAAAAGGACCTGCCGTTAACCACGGTGTGTGGAATTTGGAATTCCAGAGAGAAGTTGCTCGGCAGTGCTGCTTCAACTGCGAAAAGATGCCGGCTACGCGGTTCGGCATTTTCGGATGTAGAGGAGGCGCTGGTGAAGTGGCTATAAGCTGCACGGTCAAAAAGTTTGCCTATCAGCGGACCCCTGCTCGTGGAGAAGGCCCTCGTTTTTGCCTCGCAGCTCAACCATGACAACTTCGTGTGCAGCAATGGCTGGCTGGCCAGATTTAAGGCTAGGCACGGCACGGCATTACCACGAGGACTGTCTCGGGAGAAGGTGCTGCTGCTGACGTGGATGGCGCGGAGCAGTGGCAAAATGGTCAGCTGAAGAACATTTTGGAAGACTACGCACCTGATGCCATCTTTAATATGGATGAATCGGCGCTATTCTTTAAGCTGCTACCAGACAAAACGCTCGCGTTCAAAGACGAGACGTACACTGGCGGCAAGCATGCAAAAGACAGAATATCAGTGGCGTTTTGCGTAAACATGACTGGAACCGACAAAACTTCGCTCCTCGTGATTGGAAAGTCGGCGAAGCCTAAATGTTTCAAAGGCGCCCGGTTGCCATCAGGGGTCACCTATTGCAGCAACACCAAAGCATAGGTGACGGCAAAACTCTTTGAGGAGTACATGCGCCTCATCGATTGTCGTTTTGCGGCTAAGAACAGAAGAGTTGTTATTATTTTAGACAACGCTTCTGCACACGTCGCCCTGGACAACCTGATGGCTGTGAAGTTGGCGTTTCTGCCACCAAACACAACAGCGATTGCCCAGCCCTTGAACCAAGGCATCATTTGAGCTGTAAAACAGCTGTACAAGAAGAATCTGCTCCATTTCTTCTCACCATTGACTGTGGCAAATTATTCTCCATCGACCTGATTGGCACGATTCACCTGCTCGAATACTCGTGGCGGCAGGTTGAAGCAACGACAGCTCAAAATTGCTTCAAGCGTGCTGACTTCAGTGTGTGTGCGGGCGACGCAGATGACGCCAGTGACACCATCGACCAGACTTCGGACATCATAGAAGAAGCTTGGAAAACTCTGCTAGCTGAAGTGCTGGCGCGGCAGGGCGTTACGGAAGGCATTTCCTTCCCCGACTTCAGAGACACAGACAGCGATGTGCAGACATCTCCGGACATGTCCGACGAAGCCATTGTTGCCTCGGTTGTCGAAGTGTCGCCAAATGATAGTGATAAGGACGACATGGAAAGCAACAACACGGGTGGATCCAGGTCCGACAGTGGCCAAAGCTGGGCATTACGTCAGCGCCATGCGGGTATTTGCCGAGAAGAGGGGGCTGGCGGAAAAGCTGGCTCACAGCATAAGTGAGTTTGAGGCCGCTGTCGTTGCTGTTAGGCCGCCGCGTCGTCAAATGAAGATTACAGACTTTGTCACACGAAGTTAATAAATTACTGCACGTTTTTTGTTCTTTCATTGCACTCCCTGAAGGTTTCCTTTTTTAACAGGTAAGTAAGCGACCTGACACTATTTTAGTTAAGCAGTACTACCGTTTAGTACGTAGTTTTTCCGAGCTCCAAACAACTACGGTTTAACGAGGTTTCACTGTACATTAAGCAACCACACATAGATGCATCTTATTAGTACATTGAGCCCCGTATCGTGCCAAAGCTACCAAGTGCAATTTTTCAAGCAAATGTTGACCCCCTTTCAGCCACATTTGAACAAGTTTCTGTCACTCTTTCCTGCTAAGGTGTTAAGCCAGTGTTGTTGCATTGCATTGGTTTGTCTTTACTTCTCTGTCCCCTGTTAATCCCCTTTCCCCGTGTGGGCATTGGCTGCGGTGTCCTCTTCGAGAGACAGTTATTGTGCACACCGAACCGTCTACCCATTCAATTTCTCCTCGTCTACCCATTCAATTTCTCCTAATTCCCAAACTTCTCCAGGTTTTCCCCAATGATTTAAAGCCAGGATCGGCAAGACTACTTAGAAAACTATTTGCACTGAAAACAAACCCCCAAGTGATAAAAAAAAATGACATGGAGCACTTGCGCAGACTGGAAACCATTATTACAATACTAAAATAGAATAAATTTCTATCTACAAGCAGAGAAGTTGATTCATTTGCATCGGTAATGGTTTGACTGTTTTAAGATTCAATCCTTTCCTGCAGCATGGGGGGACCTGAAGCTGAGAACCTTCCACCAGTTTCTGCGATTCAAGCTCTTTCACAAGGGCCACAGTACTCTTCTTTCTTTCAATACCCGATAAATCCAACAGCTCCTTCTTTTTCCTCTCCAGGTCTTCATTCCACCTGATGTTAAAACTTCAAATAGGTCTACCATCGTGTCTGTTACGTAAACAAGAAACTCCTCCTTCATATTTTCAAGAAGCCATTCATGTCTTGCTGAAAATCACCACTCCATGAAAGAATTTTCATGTAAGAGGCAAAATGCCACCCCCAGCGATGCTACTGGTGGCTAGGTTGTTTTGGAGCAGGCAAAAATGCATTTTGAAGCATGTGTCACTAGAAACGATTTCAAGACAAGTACCGTGTCCATGACAAAATAGGAGATAAAAGCACGATTTTCTGCGCACTATTCAAGGTAATAAAAATACAAAAAACACATAATTATAAATATCACACACAGTTAAACTAACCTAGTAGAGAAAGCTAAGGATGAAATAGAGAGCCATAGCGTCTTGTTTTAAAATGACTGAAGGCGATATGATTGACACAGATTAGCTTGTACATATTTGAACAAAAAAAATATCACAGAAATGTCTGTGATGGCACCTCAGCGCTTTATGAACAGCAATAGTAAAAAAAAATGCATACAGCTCGTTAATTATGTTCCTCGAACAACGCTTCTTTTAATGCAGCACAAGACCATGAGAAACAGTGTAGGGTATTAACCTTTATTAACCAAAAGGTTATAACCTTTTGAATGACCATTTGAGAGTAAACATTTTCGGCTACGAAGCAGTTACTGTATTAGTCCAAGAGTAAGCAATGCCCTTAAGCGTCATCTCAAGCACAAGAAGAGTAGCTGTATTTAACGCATGACCACTGAGCATAAAGTGTCCTGAAATAGCGAATTTTGAAGTTTGCTGGGTGGACTTTGGTCGCTGCAGCAGCACACGTTTTCGGCTACGAAGCAGTTACTGTATCAGTCCAAGAGTAAGCAATGCCCTTAAGGGGGGATGCTACACCTTCCAAAAACTCTTTTATTTTTGCGAGTACCTCAGTCAAATTTGGAGAGCCTATGTAGATTTTACTGCCGATTTCAAAAATCTAATTCTTTTTTTGCTGTGACAATTAATTTTAAAGATATAATGAACTGCGACTTTTTCAATTAAGGCCTAATTAGCTAATTAACTGTAACTTGGATATTGATGTGCAACCTATAGAACCAATTCGGTATGTTCACAGTGTGCAATAAAGTATAAATCATTGTTCTGGGCTATTTCGACGCAAAGTTGTGGGGTGTTGAATATGACATGAAAAATTTCCCCATCTACACTTGAAACAAAAGATCCATTTAGAGAATTTTCTCCAAAAATTATTACAATAAAACTTACTTTACGACACATCCCCTGCATTTATCTTCGAAACAAAAAAGAAATTGTAATGATAACCCAGATAGAACAAGAGATATTGCTCCGGCATAATGGGAAGCACATGAAAATTGTCGTTTTGAGAAATCGAGAAAAAACGTGGGCACACATTTTTATTGCAGAAGATGCAACAAGACAACCTCAAAACGCACCAGAAGCATAGTCTGAATGCATTTTGTGCTCATGCCTCCTCTTCACTAGCTTCCGGAGTTCCAATGAGGCTGTTCTTTTCTTGTTGGAGACAATGCTGCGACGGTGGTCTTTTTCTCTCGCTCTCCTGGCACCAGTACTTGTCGCATTCATGTCCATTTCCCCTAAGATTGCCGTTGCAGAATTCAAATTGCCCGTGTTGAAGCGCAGCACTGCTTCTGCAACAGCTGCTTCAACAGCGAACAGGGACGCATGGTGCTCCTTGGGGGCCAAAC